TTGGGATGTTTTGTCACACCCACCATATAGCCCTCACCTTGCGCCTTCGGATTACCATTTGTTTCGTTCCATGCAAAACTCTTTAAATGGTAAAATGTTTAACAACGCGGATGATGTCGGATCACACCTAATTCAGTTTTTTAATAGCAAAGACCAGACATTTTATGAACGGGGAATTTTTACTCTGCCAGAACGATGGAAAAAGGTCATCGACAAGAACGGCCAATATCAAATTGAATAAATTTATACTTTTAAACAAAAATTCCGAATTTGCCTTCTTATTTGAAATTGGCAATGACTTAGTTGCCAACCTACTATTTTCATGTTTTAGAAATCTACCTCGTGCTAAACAACCTTTCTATGATGTCTATGTATTTGTTGTTGGTGGTGGAACCTATACTGAATACCACAATCTCCTGCAGTGGTCTCGAGCCGGGGCAAGCTCCATAGGAGGCAGTGGAAGTGGAATTGGTGGAAGCGTTACACAAGGCAGTTCCTCTTCTCTTAATGCCCTCGGTCTCTCCTTCCCTAGTTCAGGTTCTGGCTCTGACCTCACCTCCTCTGGGTCATCTGGTATCCCTGGTGTGGGTTCCACGAGACGAATCACCTATGGTGGCACCGAGATTCTTACTCCGAAAATCTTCCTCGAGCAGGTGAGCCACTTATACATTCATTTCAGCCTTAATCGCCTTGGTGATCGTTTATATTCATGTCTTTCCTTCCTCATTTTCAGCTTACCCAACTTGGCAAAGAGACTTAGGTCCACGTTGAATGGCAGCTTTGGTGTTCTTATGCATCTTCTTGTTCCTCCTCATCATCCTCCTCCTTCCTTATCTGAGTCTTCTCTTACAGCTCTGGTATTGGTACCTTTGTAATTTCCCATTTCATTCTCCCGCTGTGCGTTTTCTCTGCCCCATCATTTTTCTTACTAGTATTCCTTTCACGACTATCTGATTTCTGAAATATAAATATTACTTGTGACATGTGGTAACGGTTTTGGTAACACTTAACTACTCTTTGAGGTTTATTATAATCGACCTCATAGTTTACAAGTATCTCAAATTACGACCTATAATTCAAAGTTAATGCAGATCACTTGGAGTTGGTGCTATATTGTTGAAAAAATGTAATTTGAATCATTTAGTTGGTTCATTACGTTAGTTGCTGAAACTGATTTCAATTCAGATTTCCAGTCGCGATTTATCTACAAAGTGAGATGCAATGGGCCGGATGCAAACTAGATAGCAAAGTCCGAAACTGTTTTATGAAGCAAAAATGAAATGAGATGTGAAAGAAACAGTTCTCTTCGTGGAGATTAGACTTATAATGGCATCAAGTGGCAATACATTATATAAATATGAAGTGAACGGACTAAAGATGGCTCCGAAAGCTTTAGAAAAAACTCCGCAATCCCGGTGATGTGGGGATATTCGACCCACTGAGTTTAATTTCATGACAGCCTAGGGCGTAGAAGCGGAGTTTGTGAACGCACAGCATTGTCGTGGTTGAACAAAGGAATTTCTCCCTCACTCAGATAGACTCGAAGGTGCGGCCTTGCTACTTGGGACGCAGAGAGTAAGTACGACGTGAGCGCAGAGATCTCCCAGTCTGCCATAAATCAATAGTTGGTCCATTGTTTAACGAACCCTTCCTTGTATCTTAATGACAAATCTTTGTGATAGAAAATCATCCAAATAAACGTGCTCCACATCAAACGTCAACTTCGTCTGTGTTGTTGCGGATACCTTGTCATAGAGATTACTGCACATAAGTCAAGACATGATGTAGCAAACCGCTACAAGTTTATCAAGGTTATTTGCATTATGTCGTTATGCGGTTGTGTTGAAATTGCTAAGCCATTGTTGCATTTTAAATAACTTACCAATTCCAGGTCTGAAATTTTGAAATATGAAATTTTTCAGTAAGTAAAACACTTAAGCACGTAGAATAACAAAGTAATTAAATAAGGGATGTCGGAGATGTACAACATAAAGTAGACTATGAAATTGTTACATCATTAGACTTACGTCATTCGATTCTGAATTCATTATGTTGCCTAAATAATCATTTAGAACTTTATTACGACATGATGTTACATTTCTTGGCTATCCATTTTGTGTCCTACACAATTGCTTATACGAGAACTAGGTGGTTGATTAAACCAAATTGTTCGAAGTTCAGTTCAATATATTTGGCTCTTCAAACTGAAAAACATAATAACAATAGTTATTTAAATAATATTTATGAATGCACTATATCCCCACAGGTTTAATTTTAAATATATGAATATTTTAATATCAAACATGCAAAGATCACGCTGGTAGACATTTTGTCTTATTAAAAAATTTCCATCTTCGATGCCCCTTGATTCCAATATGGTTACATTTGAACCCAATTCACAGTGACCAAATAATAGAATGAAGTTATCTACAACTACCGTAAAGTTATTTCTATCATTCCTTCAAATAATATGTAATTTTTTATAAATTACAGTAAATAACTCAAATTTTTACTGACCTTGATGTATAGGATTTTAAAAACTGTGGTCTATTTAACATCCAGGACTCGGGCTGCACGTGATTTTGGAGATGGATACTGTCGAAGCTCATGATTCGCTACCAAAACCTAAAAGAGCAAGGCTTGAGGATGATAATGATTTGATCAACCACACTTTGGTTGAAAATGACGTCGGAATTTCGGAATATATGTATCCCAAAAATGCTGGGTTTAATGGAACCTTGAAAGGGAGGCAAGTAGCTAAAAGTACCCATTAAACTAATTATAGATGGGAAGATTTTCTTGTTCGAGAAGTGAATCTATCCGGGGAGGTTTGTAGATTATCATCAATTGTGCCAAATGAACCTGCTAATGACACTTCAGTGAGTAGTCAAGTTTTCTTACGCATAGCAGTCAACACCAACTTCTGGTTCTAGTTATATTATCCCCATAGAAATTGACGAGGTTCTAAAAGAAATCGATCGCGAAACAATGCTTGAGGCTTCTTTTCCAGTAAAAATTCCTTGTTTACCAATTTCATAATAGGCCTCTGCGGATAAAGAGGAAAGAGAGGCATTTCATAAAGCAATTCGGTTGAATTATCCCTCACTTGTTAGTCAGACAGCCGAAGTTGATGGAAATCGTTTTATTAATGTTACCCGTGGTAGCCTAGTCAAAGGTTTGCTTTAAAAGTAATTTACTAACTCCGATCTGAAAGGCAAGAAAGCTTGGGAACGAGTCGCAAAATCCAACGATCCACCTAGGAAAACACCCTATTGTCACTTTGTGCTTTATAAGGAGGGTAAAGATACAATGCAAGCTCTCCATATTGTTGGCCGTATGCTCAAGTATGTTTGTTTTACGTCTCTTGATTGATTTCTACTTAGGATTAACTCGAAAGCATTCAACTATGCCGGTACTAAGGATAAAAGAGCCATAACTACTCAAAATGTATCAATTAAAAAGTAAATTCCCTGCGTCACTGTATTAATTCTATTAGTATTTCTGCGCGTCGCTTATCTACGCTGAACCCTCGGTTAAACGGGATCAAGCTTGGCAACTTCTCGTATGTCGCTACTCCAATCAAATTGGGTGAGCTCTATGGCAACCGCTTCTCGATTGTCATCCGGTAATTTCTCATGAACTATTCCCTAATCCCATTACTTTGCAGAGATATCTGTTCTGAGGATAGTGTTATTCACATGGCCATCCAAGATTGGCAGAAACATGGATTCATCAACTACTTTGGCTTGCAGAGATTCGGTCATTGTTCCGATGCTAGAACATTTGATATTGGAAGGTGATTTCTCAATGTTCCTTTTTATGCCATCTTATCTTTAACAGGGAAATTATTCGGGGAAATTGGGAAAATGCTATCAATCTCATCTTGACTCCAACGAACTCCGGTTAGTGCTAAAATTTGCAAATATACTTCATTATTTCTATTTTGGAAGTTCTCGAATGTTCTGATAATGCACTGTAGAGCTGCCAGTTGTTCGCCAAGTAAAGGAGCGCTATCAAAAGACCCAAGATGCCAAGGCTTGTGGAGACGATATGCCGCAGTGTTTAGAGAAAACATTGCTACTTGGTATTGTTCGCCATGGAAAAACATTGTCTGCCCTGCAAACAGTACGTTTTAATCCTCTCAATTTGATTGATAGTGTCTTATTACATTATATTCAATAGTAAAGTCTTATTTATTTTACATTTTTTTGTATGTGCACCATATAACAGGACTTTTGTCTTCGTTTTTGCAACTCTTTCCATTACTCTTGTAATTCATCATTCCACTTTTTGCAAAACCTGGTTTGGAATCCAAACATCAGTTTAAGTGAATTCCGACTGTAGTCGCATTTCAAGATTCTTCCATTAGATTATGCTTCACGAACATGAAAAGGTGTTAATAGGATGCTGTGAATATCGAGGTTGTGGGAGAAGCCTGCAATTTAATTCCTGTATCTTTTTGGTGGGGCCATTCTTTCTCTGTAGGGCCATCTGGACATAGTCCTCTTGTGGAATTGTCCATTTTCTAGTAACTTAACTCTGTTGTTTATCCTATAATTTTTTGTTCCTTTTTCTCACTTGTTGATGAAACACTTTTGTTGTTCTTGCTTCCTTCGATTTTGGCTATTCCTGATGGATTATTCCACGTAAATGCCACCAATTGCATGGAAGGTGTTTCATAAAGTTTGATTTGGAAGCAACCATTGGCTTTTCCCCACAGTAAAAGTGGGAATAAAAAGCACGGTATCTTTGTTATCTTGACAACAAAGAAATACGCGCCTGTCTTTGCTTATTCGTATTATACTGAGAGGAAAGATACACCTACACCAAAGTTGATATCCTATTCAGTTTAACAGTGTCCATAAGTTTAATTGCACATTTATCTATAGACATTCGGGTTTCTGCAATAATTTCTCCATAGTTAACGGCAAATTTACTCCAATAAGATATTCTAACACCTCATCATCTAAGCGTGTGGGTGGTGGTCTTTGCTGTCTTATCGTATAATTTAGTCCTTTTAACCACTTTCAGTAATGGCTTCAGTAGTCTTGTAGGCGTCCAAACCCTGATGAAATAGAAGCAGTATGCAGCATTTCTGACTGCTTTGTTGCTGGACATTTTTACCCTTAGCGCACTAGATCAAATGTTTTTGCTCATAAATAATATTTAACAATCTCTCCACATGGAAAGAAATTCACGAAGGAGACTGTTTGCATCAAACGTGTCTGTTTGTAAAATGTGGTTTTAGTTTATAGCATTATTACTGTCATTTCAGTTGCCTCGTAATCTGCGTCAACTCTACGCTCACAGCTATCAGAGTCTAGTCTGGAACAAGGTCGCAAGTCGCCGAATTCGTGAATTAGGTGTTGGTGAGGATTTGAAGGCCTTGGTGGGGGATCTCTACTTCCCAGATGTCCCAAGCATTTCTAAGGGTTAGCTCTTCGTTACTAATTTATATTTGGTTTTTTAATCTTTGAAAATACCTCTTTTTCCCTGTTTTTGTCTCTGGTAATAGGCCAAAGAGGAGTAGATGGATAATACAAAATAAAACATCTAATAAATATAATCGTTTTTCGCTATTGGGAGAATTTTTTGTTTTTTTTTTTTGATTGACTTCCAGATATGTTCTAAGAGTGAAGTGAACTCATTTGGTCGTGTGGGGTATCTTTCATACACTCCTCACGCAATGGTTTGGTTATCGTATGACGACCCTGTCAAGCGCTCACCTGGACGAAAGCAATTTTTGGCCTACAATGAAGAGTATCACGTAATAGGATGGGAATTTTAAATTTACCTTCATTAAACAAGATAGTCACTTTTTAATGATGAGTTTATTAACAAAATAGTGGCAATTTTTTGTAAGAGGCACTTTGCTCGTAATAGCAATGTTTTAAAATTTTTAAATCTTGTCTGTGTGAAAGTCAGCCGCGCATAACTGCATTTGGCGTCTAAGTAGCAATTTCATAATGAAATGTACATTTTGTTTTTTTTTCCTATTAGGTTTGCGCTCAGTAGATTCCTCCTCCGAGCTGTGCATTGACGATTCCCTCAACCCAACAACTATCGCCGTACCTGATCCAGAGCCCACAAATGAGCCAGTCGGTGATGGAGTAGCGGAGGCGATCGAGGAAGAAGAAGAAGAGGAATCGGAGGTTCAGCACAATCCTTCATCTTTACTTACCCCTGCAACACCTTCCCGGGTTACTGAGGAAGGTGAAAGACCCTTGTTGCGTCAGGTGGTTCTTCCCCTCCCTGGTTATGAGGTCATCTTACCCGATAATGAGAGTGAGTTAGTTTTTACGCTTGCTCTGATTTGTAAGGAAGCTTGAACTATAAATCTCCAATCGCCATTAACACTGTTGGCTTGTCGTCAAGCCATTAGAGTCTTTTTTATCTCCTCTTTTTCTATTTTCCTGTTTGTGGTATCTTACCTCTTCGATAAGTCTTGGTAATGACAAAGAGCGACCACCCTTTGCAATTAGGAATAATTTAACAGTCCTTACTAACTTCTCCTGAAAGCAGTGTGTGTATTCAACTTGAATATACACAGCTTACGGAGATCTGTTAAACTAATATTTATAGCCATCTTATCCGGTTATCTGCTGAAATCCTTTCAAGATTATATGGTCTTTTCAATCATTAGAAGAAGCTGAGTTGGCGGCAAGATCGACCCCTCCTTAATAAAAACCATCATTTTTCTACTATCCGGAAATTATCCATGAAATTTTAATTGTGGATATAAACTACGTTTTCGGTAATTATTGTACAACCGGAAAGTTTATTTAGTTATTTATTTCAAATGGCAGGCGTTTTGATAGTTATCATTGGCCATTTAGCTGACTTCGGGCTTCACAGAGAAGAGGAGGAACATCAAAGTGACAGAAAGTCGAGAAGGGGGGGGACGTAATTGATTCGCAGATGTAACAGAGACAGACAAAAAGGCAGAGAAAAGGTAAGATGAGTACTGTGGAGTGGTCGAATATGACATACGGTGGGGTGAGGGTAGTTTGAAGTCAGAAGTCAATTGCCGGTTAATAGACTTTTTTGCTGTATGAGTATACGTTGCCCAGGGTGCACCACGTGGAGGTAAGTCTATCGCAAACCCCACAACCGGAAAGTAAAATGAAAAAACACTGATACTTTGATGTTATCATCAACATCTCTCTGAGCTCCCTCCCCCATCATTTTAATTAATTTCAGTTTGCTTTCTACAAAAATTATGCTCTTTTGGATAATAATAATAATGGAGAAAAGTCATCCTGAAAAATATGTAAAACCATTTTTTTAATGTGTTGGGTAATTTAAAGTTTGCTGTGAGATAGGATTGGAGTGTCTGTAGATGCTGATTAGGCTGCAATTGGGGTATTTCGTCCAGTATAACTGCTTGGTAATTTGGAAGAATAGTTCTGTCTAAAGACGGGATAAGTCCTGCTGAGAGTTTGGTAAAAGTTGGAGCAAGATTTTTTCCATTGCCATCGGCTCTTATTATCAGTAGGGTGTCTTAAACTCAGCCTCCCTATTAACGATCACTTTGTCAAAATGTTTTTATTTGCTAGTTTGGCATTCTAGCTGTGCATGCTTTTCAGTCTCACATTTTGTTTTTGGCATTTTTTAGGTGGGAAATGGTATTCGGAGATTTTAGCCGAAGACTCGCTCAAAATCGAGAACTTTAAGCACAAAGTCAAGTAAGCTTTTTTACTCCATGTTATTACATCATCAAGAACTAATCCTTACCGAACTATACTTCCCTCTAATAGATGGAAATATTTACTTATTCTATTAGGAAAATGTCTGTTATCTAGTAACCTTCAAATCCTATTTATATTTTTAAACTTGAAGCTCAGAGGAGATTTCTCTATGTTAATTAGTGGTCTTTCAAATCGCTTTTCACCCAATGTCGACACCCCTAATCTAGGTTGTTCCACAACTCTTGATGCACATTTTGGGATGGCGGTTACATACAGTTATGATCAAAATCATATTCATTGAAACGGCGCATTTTCGTATCGAGGTTATTTGCACTATTAAAACAAATTTTGCATGTAGTGAAAACTAAAATTTCAGGTTGATTTATGCCGAAGTCACTGCACAGCGAACCGATATTAGGAAATCTATATGATATCATCAATTTAATAAAATTTGATTAATTTAGGATCGTATCGTAGTTCGCGTTAGAAGATGGTTTAGAGACTTGATCCTACGAAGTTAAGCTTCATCACTTTTTGCCATTGAGGTAGCTGAAGTTTAACTTCAAGACTCTTCAGTCAACGCACTTACACTGTGAGCCAGTTTTTCGCAGTCTTACCTTCGTTACGTGTTTTCTGTGCATCATGTGAAATTTATTTATAACAAATGGCAGGTGTTTTGATGGTTATCATTAGCCATTTAGTCGACTTCAGGCTTCACAGAGGGGAAGGAACATCAAAGTGGAAAAAAGTCGTGAAGAGGGGGGGGGGTGACAGAAGAGTGCTTCAACGACGAAGGTAGAAAAAAGGTGAGGTGAGTACTTGGAAGTTGTCGAATATGACATACAGTGGGGTGAGGGTAGTTTGAAGTTTACCGATTAATAGACTTTCTTGTCGTATGAGTATACGTTGCCCAGGGCACACCCCTCATGTGAAATACTGAGCGGTGACTAAGATACAGATATGTGGGTCAGCTCGGGTCACTACTGAAATAGTTCATTCGTTCTTTAGGCACAGCTTCTCTCTTTACCCGAGTTGACATGAAATCCTTTTTTTTCTATTTTTTTCTCTACAGAGACTTTGCACTGCCTGGTTCTTATCGCCACTTGATTGTCAAACCAGAGGATGTCCACTACGAGATTCGTGAATATACAGATCCACTTGAGCCTCTGATATGCAGTGACTATGCCCTGATGAGTGAAAAATCTCCTGTTAAGGGTGGAACTAATTCCTCTGAAGAAGGTAAGCGTGAAGCAACCACTCTTAGGGGAATTTAATGAGCCACTCTTAGTATCGCTAGTGGAACTACTTGAAGCTATTCGCAATCTCCTAGAACGAGTGGGCTTCCTCAGGGAGAAATAGGAAACTGCAGCTTTTTCAAGCCACAGGTGTGCTAGGAATGGAAATAAGAGGAGTGAGGTGGGTATTTGAAGAGAATGAGATAATAATCGGCCTAATTTTGATATTCTAAGAGTATTTAAGTACACGAGTTCACTTATCAATTAGTTCTGCGCAATGAATGTTTCCATTTCTGTTTTTACTCATTTTTGCCTTATATCTAGGTTTTGCCGAGGAAAAACCCAAAGGTAGGTCGGTCATTTTGTTACGAATCAGATATGTTCTCCATCTTTACCTCAAATTTAACTGTCAATTTATCTTTTCTACCTCCTTTAAGAAAAGGGTCGAGCTCTGATTCTTGAATTTACGTTGCCAAAGGCAGCATACGCTACAATGGCCATCAGAGAATTAATGAAGAATGTCACCGTGGTTCATTGAGTCCTGAGGACGCTTAATAATCTTGGATCTTTTATAAGCATCGCTTTTCGACATTTACGTCATTTGGCTCCCTTGGTGTATACTCTTTTATGGTGTTATTATTGCCTATAAAATTGGGCGATAATAAAGCGCCCCTTTGTATCTATGTCTCAATGGTCGTTTTTTTTCATATCTTCACTTTCTATTTAATAATGCGGTATGCCTTGGTTGGAATTGTTTCGAGGATGAACGTAGACAAAGGAAAGACGTCCCAAGGGGTAAAAAGTAGGTTTAATAACATTTGTTGAGGAAGCCTGCTAATACAAACCCATTCCAGACAGGTTAAAAAATTGCATTTTTTAGACCTAGCAATCGAAATTAAGTGAATAAGATATGCAGTGATAGACTGTTTGTCCAACATGAATTTCGATTTAAACCTCTTGATAGCCCTTCTGTTGCAGTTTATCGGTTCGCACAAGCGTAATAAAGATATTATAGCCAACATTTCTATCAGGTGGCAAGCATTATGATAGTTTTTTATATCAAATGGTAGGCGTTTTGATAGTTATAATTAGCCCTTTAGCTGACTTCAGGCTTCACAGAGGGGAAGGAACATCAAAGTAGAAAAAAGTCAAGAGGGGGGGGGGAGGAACAGAAGAGTGTTTCAAAGATATAAAAGAGACGGACACAAAGGTAGGTAAAAGGTATTGTGGAAGTAGTCGAACATGACATAGGGCTGGGTCACGTTAGTTAGAAGTCAGAAGTCAACTGCCGGTTATTAGACTTTTACGTCGTATGAGTATACGTAGCACTGGGTGCACCACGTAGAGGTAAGTCTATCGCACACCCCTTACAGTTAGCGTGACTCAATCACTATATGGCGAAAATGAACTCGATCGAGATAATATAGGTTGATTGTGGCATAACAGTTTTTTTCACTAAATGAAATAACGCTCATTGTCATGAAACAAAATTTATTTTCGTTATTTCTGAATTTAATTTCTAACATCTTTCAACTCAATTAGCAATCGTTTATCATTTGCAGTGAACTAAGCAAATAATTTGTAAGGTCAATTCAGTTTATGTTGGTATGGAATATATCCAATTTAATACTCTTAAATGTTACAGACAAAACGCCTCGTTTAGAATTATTCTAAGTGGGCACTTGATGACCATTATTAAATTTGAAAAAATAATTTGTGCGATCAACGTAATAGTGCTCCATAAAAGTGTTGCCTAAGAAAGCTCTATAGCCATATGATTTTACTTTTTCTAATTTAGCATGCATAAGTTAGGGTAGCTTGAAGTAACATCCATGAACGACAATCTGTGCTTCAAACAAAATTTCAACTTTAATGGCCCAATTGACTTCCGTTTGAGTTTATTGAACATTGAAAGGAAACCCAATTTAATGCTAGAAAAAGCATAACGGGAACTCTACACACATTCTGCATATCATTGTGCAGATGCTATTCTAAAAAACGTAAAAGTTCTAAGGCGCAAACAAGCTAAATAATTTGGATAAATTATTAAGATAGTAAGTAATAATGAAGGCATTTCGGGTCAAATTGTATTAGAAATAGAAATAGTATGAAGATTAGCATAAATGACATATGTGCATACAAATGAATATGTTAAAATACGTAATTTCCGCCATTGAATATTATTTTAAATTCAGATAATAAGTGTGAATCAAGTTATTTAATTTTCATTTTGTGAAATTCAGCACAAAAATCACGAATTAGATCTTGGGATGGATTCAAGAACTTACGATAATTAAAATATTATCGATTGCAACAAGAGTATCAAATCACACGTTTTTCTCATTCTGAGAAGTTTCATTAATAAAACCAAGTAGTTTTGGTAGGTAATACATTATTTTAGTAATATTGCTTCAATATTTAATTAATTACTTTGCATCTCCTTCAAAGCAGTTTGAGTTCATCTTCTATCATTGGCGGTTGCTTGAAAGAAAATGGACGAAGAATACGACGTCATTATTTTAGGAACAGGATTGAAGGTGTCTGTGATTTCATTACTTTATTTTCGCGTGATTTTTAGGAATGTATCTTAAGTGGTCTTATGTCTGTTGCGGGCAAGAAAGTTCTGCATATGGATAGGAATAGTTACTATGGTGGTGAAAGTACTTCCGTGACTCCTCTTGATGAGCTCTTTAAACGCTTTAATAAAAAATTCCCTGATGGTGAAGTCTATGGACGTCCAAGAGATTGGAATGTTGACCTAATTCCTAAATTTTTAATGGCTGATGGCAAACTTGTCAAACTACTTTTGCATACTGGCGTTACTCGGTATCTTGAATTCAAGTCTGTTGGGGGAAGCTATGTGTACAAAGGCAATTCTGAGAGTGGAAAAATTTGCAAAGTTCCCAGCAACGAAACCGAAGCGCTTAGATCGAGTAAAATATTTTTCTGTTTGTTATTAATTCTCTAAGATCTCATGGGAATGTTTGAAAAGCGCCGATTTCGTAAAATGTTGATTTACACTGAGGGCGTAGATGAAGCTAATTCTCAAACTTGGGAAGGTTTGGATCTCCGTAATTGTTCCATGGTGCAAGTTTTCGATAAATTTGGAGTGGATAATAACACCCAAGTACGTTCCATTCTTTCGGCTTGTTCCCCTTGGATGCCTAAACATACGTTTCTGTTTTGTTCCTTTTTGGATTGTAGGACTTTGTTGGTCACGCAATTTGCCTTTATCGAGATGACGATTATAAGAAAAATTGTTGCGCCCTTGATGCAATAAAACGAATGAAGCTCTATAGTGAATCATTGAATCGTTATGGGACGTCTCCTTATCTCTATCCTCTTTACGGTTTGGGAGAATTACCTCAGGCTTTCGCTCGCCTTTCTGCGGTTTATGGTGGCACTTACATGTTACACAAACCCTTTGAAGGTTTTGAAATGGAAAATGGCAAGGTTGTTGGTGTGAAGTCTGAAGGTGAAATTGCTAAGTGCAAACAGGTCATTTGTGACCCTAGTTATGCGCCCGACATGATTAAACTTGTTGGAAAGGTAAGCTGATTTGAAGTGTATTATTGTGTTCTGGTGCCTGAAACGACTCAGCCTTCATATTGCTCTCTAAACTTCCTTTTTTATTTTAGGTTGTTCGTGCTATCTGCATTCTTGACCATCCGATCGAGGGCACTAATGACAGCACTTCTTGTCAAATTATCATTCCACAAAACCAAGTTGGCCGAAAACACGGTGAGTTTATTTGAATTCAAGCACTTTTATAATTTACTGCGTTTTGCACTCCTTTCACGCCTATTGTGTGATGTCTTTTCCGTAATTTTATGTGTAAGATTAAAATAGTGTTAATTATCTAAAATAGGTTTCTTTAATCCTACTGCAATTAATTTTGATTGTTGCACTCACTTATGAATCCTGATTTGCGTCATCTGTTTCATATCTTAAATTAGGATCTGGTTTTATTATAAAGTAGAAATATCATAAACTTGTCTTAACTTATAGGTGCTTTTAGACTGATTTTACCCATTTATTAAATCTCTTTTCCCGTATATTTCACGAGCTCTGTATTCTAATTCATCAATTTCGCATTATACCTATCATTTAGTTTGGGTCTATTCAACTTTAGATCATGAAGACTTGCTACATTTCGACTTCTTTCGAAAGTTGACTCCCTGATCTTGTGTGATAATATTTGGAGATCTATTTTACAATTTGTAGGTAATTGTAGACCTCTTTGTTCATTGGTTTTTAATCATCAACGAGTAGATAACGACGTATAAAACAGGTTACAGGGGGGGGGGAGTTTCGTATGTGTTAAGCTTTTGGATAACATCTAGGACACAAATATCAAATAAACCTGGACGGTAGTGTTAAGATCGCCTGTTTTAAATACTTCCCACTTGACAAATTAGAGTAAGTTCTTTCCGGTCCTTATTTTCGCCCCATTTTGGTTTACTTTTTCTTGATCTCAATGTAGGACATGGTAAATTTACGAATCATTTGTTTACCACTAAACTGAAATTGGAGTCGTACATGGGACATTTTACCTGGTCTTGAGTTCTTAATGTTTTATTTCGCGTTGAATTAGGCACATTTCTCTGTAACAGCCAGTCGCTATACTAATTGCTTAATATATAAACGCCTGCAAACTTTATCAGAAAGTTGATTTTCAATTAAAATTCTTGAAGGCGCTTTAGAAGAGAGCTTAACAGCTCTAAGTGGCATCAATAAAAATCACATCATTGGTTTTTTGGTGTAAATTGTAGATATTTACGTCTCCTGTGTATCGTATGATCATAATGTAGCAGCAAAGCCATTCTTCGTCGCTCTGGTGGCCACCACCGTGGAAACCAATACTCCAGAGCGAGAAATTGCTCCCGGTATTCGTCTTCTCGGACGCATGTGTGATTGCTTTGTATCCGTTTCTAACATCTACGAACCTACAAACGACGGAAAAGCAAATAATGTAAGTTGAGTCGTTCGTGAATTGAAAGAGGGTGGGGGGGGGGGGGGGGGGTGGATTTTCATTACGGTAAACGCTAAGATACTTATCCTATTTATTCGTTGGCGATCAGCTCTTACCTTGAGTTTCCTTAACTTTTTGATCAGTTATAAGAAATTGTTGACGCCTAACAAATGTTAAATGTGCTAGTATTTCACTTTTATGCATCCTACCTGTTTCTTCACTGAGTTCAAATAACATAATTGTTATGAAAACGGTATTTAGCAAATATTCACTGGTGTGAGTTGGGCACAGCGGTAAGAGTACGTTTGCTAAGTTCCATTCATAATATTCACATGTGGTGTATTTTGCATTTCAGATCTTTGTTTCCTCGAGCTACGATGCCACAACTCATTTTGAGACAACTTGTGACGACGTGTTGGATATTTACGAACGAGTTATGGGCGAAAAATTTGACTTTAGCAAAGTGAAAATGAAATTAGAAATTGACCAGCAGTAGGAGGCGATAGTTTGCTTCTGCGTTTGTGTGATATTTTAATCGACTCTCCTTCCATTTGTCGCTTCTTAATGTCGTTTCTCTTCCCATTCCTTTCTCATGCTTTCATTCCACTCCTTTCTCATTGTCGTGTCGGTTTCAGAATCGTGAGCATCAGCTTCCTCTTAATGTTCGTCTGTGGCTTGAATCGTGGTTATCTTAAAGAAGATTTATCTAAATGTCCGCGCGCGTCTTTGCCTCTTCCCCACCTCCTCCCTTCTCCTGTTCTCATTATTTCTCTTTATAAGGCTGCCAAGTAAATCTAATTTGCTAAAAGTATCGCTTTGGTTTTGGCTGCTCTAGAGAACAACAAAGAGGCAATGTGAGTACGTAATTGAGGTGAATTCATCAATCGTCTAGATAACGGATTTATTGAATAGTCATCAGAACAAGTGGTGTCGTTGATATTTACAGAAAGTTTGAGGGATAGGGGGGGGGGGGGCGTTGACTGTTGGGCAGGCAGTGTGGTCGTTGAAAATATCCATTAAGATTTTGGAGCTGATTTCCTTTCAATATTCGCGAGGTGTTAGTAGTTACGAATTTCTCAACAATGAGAGTGAGAACGATCTTTGGTGTGAACCGAGCACATTGTATCTCGCATCCAACGTTGATTGATCTTTGGCTCATTTGGGCTAATGTTTTAAGTTGTGGACGCGTCCATAGAATTTGCAATGTTTTGACTTAGATACCTTCATAGAAGCTTATTATTTTCGATTAACTTGCCTCTCGTATGCAAGATAGAGTGTGCCGTTATACTCATTGAGAGTTGCAGAGCGTAAAACACGAAGAGTTTTTTCCTTAATTTGATTAAAATAGAGTATTTAACGCCATTTGTTCACCTTCAATTTTCTGTATTCTTGTATAACGGCGAAAGTTAATCCCTCTTGATAGCACTTCAAGATAGTGATAGGGAACTCGTTGGCCAATCATTTCCACTAAAATTGACAATTTCATTGTTACTTTGCACAACGAAGCTCCAAGTTGCTTATTATAAAAAAAAGAGGTAATTTGCACAGAGTTAAAAATCAAATGACGGCACCACCGCCTAATATGGAACTTGCAGACGTCTGCGAGGAGTTTTGCCTTAGCCAAGCTTAGTCAGTAAATGCCCACTCAAGTGAGATTAGAGGGGCGTCGGCGTAAACCTTGGGAAGACCCCAGACTCGAATGCCTTGTTTTCTTAAAATAATGCAATTTACAAAACCAGGTATAGTTTCTAAGCTCCTATGCAGGGAATAGACGTGGCTTAATATATATGTTGATGTGCATAATTGGTCCTCACGTACAGAAAACCCATAACCTGAACAACATACATATACATATATATATTCATTGATTTGCAGGCATAAAGTTTCAAGGGATTACGTTTAACATGAAAAAGAAAAAGGCAATTTTGTTCTTTATTGCTGTTGCTGATCCTCCTGTGCCACTTTTCTCTTGAGAGAGTCGAATTTCAGTTTCCAGTAGCGATATTTTATATCCAGAATCTTCATTCGCTGCTTGTGTTCAGCTTTTGAATGCCTGAGCAACTCTTTGTGTATAATTTTTCTTTTTCTGGGTCCAGTCAGGTTGGATTCATCACCAATATTCCATCCATGCGGACTGCCGTCTGCATTAGGGCTTAAAAAGAGAAAAGCTATAATACGTCCTACTAACAAAATATCAGTAGCAAAGTTAAAATTCATAAATATTTAATAATTTTTTTGAATTTAGTGTTAAATGAAAACAACAATAGAAAGCTTACAATACAATCGCCTCGGTAGTGTCTTCATTAGCCGATGAATCTTCATCACTTTCTACCTCAGATCCAACGTCTGTTGAGTTTGTCGCAGTATGAGTGCCAGCATTAGCTGTAACGGGAGTTTCATTTTCGTCTCTTTTTATTTGTATAACTTGAGGGGACTGAATGTGATATTCGGTATTACTGACATTGGTTACTGCATTCACTGTTTCCTAAAAATTTGGAAAAATCAGTTGACACAAAAAGCAAGCAAATTTATATCTTAACCAACGAGTAGAGATTGTTCAATAGCCTTTAGAATAGATAACAAATGCACCTTCAGAATTTGAGAACAAATGACAGTAGAGCTATCAAATAATACGGTACTAAGAAAGCTATATTCAAATCGATTTCTGAAAAATCTTTTTGGTTTAGTAGTACTCACCTGTGCACTTGCTACACTTTCAGTCCCGAACTGTGAAGAAATTAGAAGATTATCGGAATATTCCATAGACATTTGTTCATTTGTTGCTGATGTTGTTCCCCCAGACTCTTCAACCAACCCCTTCGCTTGATTTGCTTCTATGAGAAATTGCACCACCATCCTTAAGGTCTCATTTCGTTCCATCTGCTCAGCCAGTAGGCCATCACGAAGTATCCTCCTCGTCTTCAATACGATGTTTTCCCATTTCTTCTTCAACTATATGTATAAAAATGGTCAATAAGCGTAGGGCAATTGCAAAGATAATTTAATAAGAAAATTCAGGAATAAGTGCCTTTAATCCACATCTTTTTGGTCCACTTGGATACCGCAAAGCGAGATTTCTTGCTACTTCCTCCCAGGCCTTTTTCTTCATTCTAGAGTGATGTGAAGCTTTAGAAAGGAGAATATGACGAAGTTTGCCAATTTCTTCAATCAACAAAGTGGTTTCTTGCTGGGTAAATTCATCCGATCTTCGTCTAATAAAAGGTGAGATAAGTGAATCTATTTCAGCCAGATTCAGTCGCGTAACAAGCGGTGTTGGATTTGTTATCTCCTGACATGGAACTACTTTGATTTCGTCGGACTGCGTAATTGTACCAGACGCGGGCATAGAATTTCTGAAAGAGTGAAAACTGTCGCTTGGTAGCATAGCACGACGTGCACGAACACTCCGCTTTTCACTAAATGTGTTACTATTTACTTTCCTAAATTATTGGCTAGCCAATTGAGAAATTTGATTGGTTAATAGGAAGCCAATCATATTACGTGCTTTCGATGCTCGATTAGGGGAAGTGCGGTCGTGCATGCTCTGTGTGCGTGCGCGCATAGCCTAAAGCAAAGACGAGTCATACGTCAAGATTAAGCCTAAGTGAAAGTTATTTCAAATGGCGGGCTTTATGACACTTATCATTAGACCCTTAGCTAACTTCGGGCTTCACAGAGGGGGGGGGGGCACAATACAATGAGAAAAAGTGGAGAGGGGGGAAAGAAGAGTGATTCAAAGATGTAAAAGAGACAGACAGACACAAAGGCAGAAAAAAGGTAAGATGAGTACTGCGGAAGTGGTCGACTATGACATACAGTGGGGTCATGGTAGTTTGAAGTCAGAAGTCAACTGCCGGTTAATAGACTTTTTTGCCGTATGAGTATACGTTGCCCAGGGGGCACCACGTGGAGGTAAGTCTATCGCACACCCCGTATATATATGCCCAATCTTGCCCATTTAGTTGTCGCTGCACCGTATCACTTTATTTTAAAGCGTGCGCAAGCGGACAATTCCTACAATCGAGAGGCTTAAAACTCACGAAATTGCGTCATAACGTCGGTATTTGTTCTTATAATGTTCTTTATCTGTATCTATTCTAATATTCGAGTTAACTTTGCATTCCTTCAGTACGGTGAACTATTCAAGCGCACTTTGCAAAGGTAAACCAAATAAGGTATATATTGCCATAAAATTAGACTTACGAGTGGCCTTGCGCGATCATTTTGCTAAAATTGGAATGGTGTCTATTTTTGCAAGTTTCACTTTGTCACCTGAAGCCGAGGTGCTTTGTTTGTCTGAAACTTTGCGAATGGCATACTTAACGTTCCTGAATATTGGTTTATGTTGCGACATTTGCACGAATTAGTCTAAGGTCACTAATTATAAAAATTCTGACCTTCCACAAACATTAAACCTAAATTAATATGGTATGCGTTTTATTGTATGGCCTATTTATTTATATTGAATTTAAGGTTAAGTCTTTGACTAACAACTGCACTATAAAATGAGATTTACGAAGTAGTTCTTAGTTAATCAATTAAATTCACGATACGACCAATCAAGGGAGGCTATATGTTAGACCGGAGAGTTGAATACGTAAGTTGAATCAATAAAGCAGTAATTTTGGACCTCAGGCAAAAATATTCGTGGGAGGTTTTACTTCGGTTTCATGAAAAGTTGATCAACTTCATAAGTTCAAGTTAATTTTTGTTTTAGCACATAAAATTAAGCGATGCATTTAATTGCCTGCTACGTATTTTGACAAGTGTGAAAGTTTATTTAAGTGCTTATAATGCCTGTAAAAATGGCCCTGTGATTATTCTGTAAAAGTATGGCAAATTGTTTTTTTTTGCCCTATGAGAAATATCACACCAAAAATACCGTTGAGGAAGCCATGTGATGCGCTGGAGACCAGTCAAATGGAGTCACCAATCAAGACGCACCATGTGCACCGCTAATTGGTTATGTAAACAATAATATAACCCGCAAATCTAAGCGTACAATTCCAAAAGGCATCAAGCATATCTTGAGATCGCAATAATGTCAGCTATTCTTCTTTTGAGGGGGAAAATTAAGAGGAAGAAGGAGAAGAAGCCCTCGAAAGGAACTGATGTCTGCGAGCCATCTGCAATAAATGCTGAGTAAGAAAGAACCATGCATATTGTGATTAGTACGTAAAATTAATTACTTTTTTATGTTCACTTGAAATCAAAATTCTTTCTATTCTTCTAGAAAATTTGAAAAATGCATCAGCTTGCCTCCAGATTTCCTTAGAGTAGAAGGTGCCATTGGATGGCGTTTGGGAAATGCGAAAAGCGAATATATTATCGAACTAAGTACCGTTATTTTTATTTGCATTATTTACTTCCATTCTCATTTTAACGCACAGATCGTTGTCTAAAGTGAAATTTGAGCATTTATTGGTATGAGTTCGAGTTCAATATGAGGTTCTAAAATCTGGATCACAATTTACAAATGTATTTTGTAGCGCAAGCCCCGCTTGCAATCATATTAAATCTTAATTCGGTTTTGAATTATTTTGAGTAACATGAAAGAAACCCAACTTTGAATGAAATAGGCTGCATAAGGCTTCTGTCAAGTTGACTAATTTCCAATATGGATTATTTTGTAGATATGAATACTTTTGAGGTATTTGTTAACAGAGAATGTGTTCGGCATGTGCAAGTACGTTGATTTATAATTTTTCTACATGTCAATAATAATATTAAATTTTAAATTTGCTGTTATTTTTAGTATCAAATAATGGACATGAAGAGTGGTGAAAATCGAGTTATTCTTCGAATCAGTTTTGCAGCCGTATTTATGGCGGATAACAGTCGGAGAGTGATTGAAATCAAGGCGGATATCAACTCCGATTTGCAGTTATGCGCCAAAAGTTTCATCTCAGAGTTTGTGAATCCTGCAAAACTTAGAAATCTCACCCTCCTTGGACTCTCCTTTGACAATTGGTGCCTCACCTTATCGGAACTTTTATGACATCATTCATGGACATACATCTTCTTTGTTTATTATCTTTTATGACACCCAGCTCCATCAAAAAGTATTGATCTTTTTTTCCAAAAAATGGGGTTTTATGAAACCAAACACATGGTAAACTTTGCATTGATAGTCATGCACTAACTTGGTTGCAAGAATGAAAATTTATGAGATTTTAAATCAAGTAGAGGCCTAACTAATCGAAAATAC